AGCGGTTCTCTGCTGCTGAGTGCAAGCAGAATGCAAGCCGCACAGTAACTTACCATTTTCTCGTTAATAAAAGTGACAACAGGCCAGCAGTGGTGGCATGCAATCACAGCACTCAGTGACGTAAAGCCACGTGGGAGAGGTCCTGGGTTCGCACCTGCGCTTTCCCTGTACATGCAGGGACGGGGTGCCACGAACCTGGCGGGCTGAGGCTGTGGTGGGCCGTGGTGTGAAGGCTCTGTTGGGGGTGTCTGTCTCGCTCTCTCTCTTTCACAGACTAAATAAATAAACTTAAAAATTAAAAGCAAACAGGTGAATTAATTTTAATGATCTATTTCATTGAAGTTACTATGCTCAAAATATTGCTTTACTGGGCTGGCTGGATCCAACATGGTGGCCATGTAGTTTGAATCCTAGACTCAATGGCTTGACAAGCACACTGGGTGGTGTGCGTGCCTAATATCCTGAGAGGAGAATGGAGAAGGGATTATGGCATGGCCATCCCCCTGGGGGGAGATTTCTCACTCTGTCTCTGTGTCTCTCTCTTCAGCAAGCTCATATACCCTACAGCAAATTAACGTGTGTGTGTATATATATACATACACATATATAATTTGTCTATGGCATCAATATGAAATTCGTTAGTGAGATATTTTACATTTATTTTTTTCCGTACTAGGACTTTGAAATCTGCTGTGTGTTTTTCATTGACAGCACACCTCAGTTTGGACCAACCACATTCCAAGTCCTCAATAGCCACAAGCACTTGCTGACTACGTCCGTGGGCAGCGTGGCTTAAAATCTGAATGCTACTGTGTAAAGTAGCACTTGAACAGTTTTTTATTTTAGTTTTGCTACAGGGTGTGTGCACTCACCAGAGGGAGAGAGACAAAAGGAAAGTGAGACCCTCCAGGGGAGATGGCCACACCACAATCCCTTCTTCTCCATTCTTCTATCAGGATTTTGGGCACGCACATATACGCACCCAGTGTGATTTTCAAGCCACCAGGTCCAGGCCTCAAACTGTGGAGTCAGCTATGTGGGATCCAACACCTTAACCGCCACACCATCTGCTGGCCCCCAAACTGATTTGTTAAAGTAAAGGCAAAATAAAGGCAATTCCAGACAAAAACTGAGACGTTGCTGTTCACATATTTAGCTAAAATAAATGCTAACTGAGGTTTTTCTCGAGAAGGAGAATGACCCCAAGACGAAGCTGAAATGATGAGCAACATGAAGTGTTAACATAGTAATATAAGTGGGCGTTGACTGAACAAGACAACACTAGTATCTCATGGGGTCTGACATACATGTAAATTAGCATGCACAATAGCCATAACGCAGGAGATGGAAGGGAATGAATGGAGAAGTCTTCTAATGTCAGGGCATTTCTGGTCATAGGTAAATGTACTACTTTATGTTAGATGGTAATAAGTTAAAGGTCCAGCGGCCTGGCCCAGATGGCGCCGATGGCAGTATAAAGAACTGCAGTACTGGAAGCCACATGGCTACCCTAGGTTCAGATCCCCAGCCCAGTCAGCTTGAAACATACCAGGCGTGTGCATATCTGCCCCAAATCCTGCCCAGCTGGAGGGCTGCGGCAATGGCTGCAGCGTGATGAGAACTTGTGAAGGGTACCTCTCCCCCCCCTCTGTCTTTCTCTCTCTTATGAGCACACCTACACTCTGTATCATGAATAAAAGATAAACTTTTACAAAATCCAAGGATTCACATTTTTACTCTCTAAGGTTACCACTAAAAAAGTAAAAGAACACAAGCCAATAGAAGGAAGAAATGGTATAATAAATACACTTATTTCCAGAAGAAGTCAGGGAGAGAATGAAGAAAGACAAAATAAATGAGACAAAACCTAGACAATAAATACAAACGTAAACACATAAGTAATCAAATATATAATAAATGGACTAAATACACTAATTATAAAATATACATCGGCAGACTTGATTTTAAAAACTGCATGGCTTAAAAAGATACACTTTAAATAAAGTGAGTTTACTTATTCATTATCAAGGAGAGAAGATAGACTAGCATGCACTAACTTAAATAAAGCTGGCATAGCTATATTGAAACTAAAGTAGAATTTAAAAGAAGTGCTATCAAAGATAGAGGACTATTTCATAATGATAGAACGGTCAGTCCTCCAAGATGACACAAACACTTTCCTTTGTATGCAACTAGTAACATATGTTCAAAATATATAAGGCAAAAACTGACAAAGGTAAAAGGAGAAATAGACAAATCCACAATTATAGTGAAAGACTTTGATACACTTCTCCAAATAACTGAAAGAACAAAGAGACTGAAGACCAGCCAGTGGCATAGAGGTAAAAGCAGCTGGATCTCACATGGCTGACTCTGCAGTTCGAGTCCCAAACCCGGCAGCTTGAGAAACATGCTAAGCATGTGTGTGCATGCCCAAAATCCCTAGAGGAGAACACAGGAGAAGGGATTGTGGCATGGCCATTCCCTCTCTGTCTCTCTCCAATGAGAAAATGGATAAAAATCTAAAGAAAAAAAAAAGCCAAACAAAAAGAGCTAAACAAAACAATAAGTTTGTCTTAATTGAATGCAAGACCATTGCATCCAACAACAACAAAACTGATGGTGTCTTAGGTAGAGCATTAATCAAAATTGATCATATTCTGGGACAGAAAGCATCTTAGCAAATT